TCTCCACAACTTTCCGTGCTGCTACCATTTAGTAGGGCGGAAAAGCGTTCCCTCCATAATTTAAGTACGCTCTGGACATCAGTTACTAGGTCGCCATTATTGTTCTTACAGGAGTGCGCCCCGGTCTTTAAACCTTCCGTAAGTCGCCTAACTCTCTGGTAAAATTTTCGGGCATTCCTCCTGTCGGCCAGCATTTCAAGCTCTTCGCACTCACGTATTTCTGCCTCTCTCTTCTTGTTGCGGCAAATACGTCTCGCTTCCCTCTTCAGATCCCTATAGCGGTCCCACATAGCGCGCGTTGCGCCCGATCGCAGCGTGGCCCTGTAGGCGGCATCTTTTTTCTCTGCAGCTTCCTGACACTCCTCATCGTACCAGTTGTTCTTTCGGGCTCGCTGGAATCCGACTACTTCTTCGGCGGCGGTACTTAATGAGCGGTAAATGTGGTTCCACTGCTCGCATATGTCGGTTGGTTGAAGAGTGCTCTCTGAGAGCAGGTGTGAGAGTCGAGTAGCGAAAGCGCTGGCTGTCTGTTGTGATTGCAGCTTTTCGACGTTAAGCTTTCCTTGCATATTTGGGCGCACATTTTTTGCTGCACAGAGGCGGGTGCGTATCTTGGCTGCAACAAGATAGTGGTCCGAGTCGATGTTTGGGCCTCGGAGTGTGCGTACGTCTAAAACACTGGAAGCGTGCCTTCCGTCTATCACAACATGATCGATTTGGTTTCTCGTTTTTCGATCCGGAGACAGCCAGGTAGCTTGATGGATCTTTTTATGCTTGAACCTAGTACTGCATACTACCATGTTTCGGGCCCCGGCGAAGTCGATCAGCCTCAATCCGTTGTCGGACGTTTCGTCGTTGAGGCTGAATTTTCCGACGGTGGTTCCAAAGATCCCTTCTTTGCCCACCCTGGCATTGAAGTCGCCAAGCACGATTTTGATATCATGACGGGGCAGCGCTCGTACGTGCGCTCCAAGCGCTCATAGAAGAGATCCTTGGATGCCTCATCCTTCTCTTCCGTCGGGGCATGGGCGCAGATGAGCGAGATGTTGAAGAATCTCGCTTTGATGCGGATTGTGGCTAGACGCTCGTCCACCGGGGTGAACGACAGTACTCGGCGACGGAGTCTCTCTCCCACCACAAATCCAACTCCGAATCTGCGCTCCTTTACATGACAGCTGTAGTAGACGCCGCAAGGCCCTATACATTTCTTGCCTTGCCCCGTCCAACGCATTTCTTGGATGGCGGTGATGTCAGCTTTTGTCCTTACGAGGACATCAACCAGCCGGGCAGAGGCACCTTCCCCATTAAAGGGTCCGGACATTCCAGGTGCATGCCCTTAAATCGTAGTCTTTAAAACGTTTGCCGTGGTCGTCATCATAAGGGGGGGTCTCATCCGAGGCTTTGCCTTGCTTCTTCACTGGAAGTGGTTTTTACGTGGCGGGTCCCAAGCCCAGCGCACAACCCTTTGCTGGGACGGGGGTGGTTTCGCAACCAAATACACGTTTATATAGCGAGCCGCTTGCTCCAAGCAGACACCCGCTTGCAGCCGCACCTACTGGTGAACAGACGCTGCAGACTTCAGTGAGCCCTTAGACCGAATAAGTCAGAGTGGCCCCACCGAAGCTCCCTCTCTTTCTGCCGTGACCCAAGGCTCCACTCGGATTGGTTACCGCATCTCGCACATGGGTTGCTCACGTTGCCCAGAGTGCGCGAACGAGGACGCAAGAGTCGGGATTGAGTATAGCCATGCAACTGTAACTGCATACCCAGCGCAATGACTATACCCCATTGGTTCTAGGTTCTTGTATAAATTCGCCTTTTGCTGCACATTTTACAAGATACACTTCTATTTCGGGTGTTCTTTGCGACACCCGGTGTTGTCAGTGTGCCGGTGTTAAACTAATAATAATAATAATACATTGGCGCTTACACATATGTTAGTGTTTGGCCGAGCTTCCCCTCCGACTTGTGGCGTGCGCCTTGATGTTGTCACACAAAGCGGAGGGACCTACAGTTTGAGCTGTTTTTCATGGCAGAAATACACTCGGAGGTTTGCCATTGCCTGCTGAGGGACGACCGCTGTTAAGAAAACACCTTTTTCTATATTTTTTTGGGATGTTGCTTTGACCAGGGCTTGAACCCAGGTGCTGATAAGTGAAAGCGCGCACAGCTTACCCCTACACCACAGCGGCCGACGAGCGGTGTTAAACTAAGGTGAATTAATACAAGGTGGTATCGTTTGGGCAAAAACAACTCAAGTATACCCAAGTTCAAAACCCAAAAATACAACAAACACATAATTTTCACATTCAGAAGGACCGCGGCACATTTTACAAGTGACACTTCTTTTGTGTGTTCTTTGCTAGTTCTTTGCGCCGCTTGGTGTTGTCAGTGTTCCGGTTTTCCTGGCGCCATTGCGTCACTGAGTTGTGAAAATCGGTATCGGCGCCAGTATCTCAACCCTCGGTATCAGCGCAATGGCACGGCGCCGCACTGTGTTACCCACGGCTAGATGTAAGGAATGTCAACGAAAACACTAACAGCCGGTGTTCGAATTCGAAAAATCGTTTCAAAGTGTTTTCGTTGTCGGTCAGAACATGGTATTATTTGAACTTGCGCAATAAGAAAATGAATTTCCACAAAACAATCGATGAAAATATCGGCAGTGTTGCCTGTTGAATTTTTTATATGAGCTCAATATTTCTCCTTGTATTTTAGTAGTAGTTAATATAAATCAAAAAAGAAAGCAACACAGGCTAAGGCAGAATGCGGGAGCGAGAAAACTGCCTGGTTATCCAACCTTGTATTATTAGGTTCTTTCCCTAACAAACCGAACCGGATCCGGTAATTAGAGAATAAGCGAAAAGCTTGCTCTCAAAAATGGAACATAATCCAGAAGTACGGGAACTCAAAAAAATACATTTCGAACCAGGTAGTCATGTGCTGAATTTTCGGTACCCAATACTTAAAAAAGATTTCGGTACCCAATGCTTCCATTTCGGTACCCGATACCGTTTCTTTACATTAAACCATATATGTAATACTCCTATATTGGCAGTAAGAGCTAGTACCGTCCGAAAACACTACAGTACAGATATATCAATAAACACGTACGAAAGAAGAGGAACACATACGTTTATAAATAAACATGTACACGACACATTTACAAAACCGGCACTCAAGTACACAATACATTGACAAAAACAGTACTAGCCTGTCTCGCTTTGATTTCGGAATGCTTACACATTGAGATGTTAGCTTACTATCAATATAGAAGTATTACATATATGCATTAAACCTTCGGCATTATATGCATTTCAGGTTTAGAAAAACCGTTGATTACTAATTTACATGATATCGGCTAAAACACTTGAACTTATCGCAACAGAGAAATATTGTTTTACCAGTTTTAATCTTAATTGATCCAAGATTCAAGAAAAATGCTTTTACGGATGAAGAAGCCTTTCAGAGGGAAGATTCTGTAACCAGTCAACGACAAGTTTCGGATCGATATCGCACTTGTTTAAGTAAAAATATTTCATATCATACGTCAACAAAACCGATGCCGATTCGAAAATTGTCCCTAACTGGAACAAAAATGCTTCAAACAAGTAAGAGTTTCTCCGCATTATGGCCTCGAACCGACATATATACATCTTTCATTTGAATCCGTATTAAAAGCTCCATTGGCTCCTATATTCGAGTTTTTATAGGCGAGTCTCCCCTGAACCGTTTTTTTCATATTATTGGCCTATGTGCGCTTTTATTCCAAACCTAAATAATTCGGCACAGAGTATCGAGAGTATTGGTTACTTTTTAAATCGGTACCGAATATCGATCAATACTTAAAAATATTGACTCAGCACATCACTAGAAAAAGGCAACATGTAAACACAAAACAACTGATATGCACTTTGACGCTTTATCCATTTTTAAGCTGAAATTAGTCGAGAACGCAGAACGTATACTTAAACGCAGTCTGTATACGCAGAATTTTGTCGATTACTCGAGCCCTCAGTGTTGCTTACTACACTGTTGCCACTCATCAATGGCTTTTCATAAACTTGCCCTTTCAACAACAATTTTTCGATTTTAGCTAAATTTAAACTATTTAGTTTTCAACAAAAACCTTATTCAATAGTAAATTTCAAATATTTTAAACATATTTTGAATAGGAACTTATATCTCTTTTACCATCTGTAAAACTGACGAAGTGGCAACCATCTAAAGAAGGAAAAATCAGCTGACACGGAAAAATCTAAATTCCGCAGATTTCTGCGCTACGGGCTACAACTACAGAAAAATTCTGCGGTGTTGAGTTTTCATTTACATGGCGCTTTGGTAAGACAGATCGTGTCAGCTGACTCGGGTTTACGTACCGGTAGGTTTACGTTCTTGACTAATTTCAGCTTTAACCGGACAAAAAGTCCGGGCTGTTTTGGGCAGGAAGAAGAAGACACTTACGATCCAATACGTTCCAATTTTCGCTCTCTATTACCCATTTAGTTGAGTACGGGAATGATTTCTGGGCTATTTCGGGCACCCGCGTGATCCCGCGTTTCGTACGGGAAAGAAGCTATTGAATCATGATTAACTACGAAGTTTATAAGGTCGGTGTTATGCAGACAAACTTTTGTTTGCCAAATTAAATGGCGGCTGCTTAGTTTGCTCGGTGGTGGTTATGTCGAGTTTGGCACAGGGTTGCACGTTCATTATGGTTTTCATGGCTATTGCCAACACGAAATGAGAATTTCAGATGTACATAACGCGCAAAATTTGAAATTTTTGTATAGACAACACCGAATTTGCTGCAGTTTGGCCAAACAAAATTAGTTTGCTGTGAGAGTCGCCAAACTCGCTCTCTCCGAGTTTGCTGCAACAACAATTGCACGCAGTTTGCCAAACAAAATTTCTGCATAACACCGACCTAACTGTATATACTGTGTGAAACAGCCCTATCGTCAGAAAAAAGTATCGAGTATTTACTCGTTAATTTTGTATCGGCACATTTCTAGTGTTTTTAAGAATTTGATTTACCGCATTTATTATTGAATCTACTGTTTGCTGCAGATCATGGAGGATAATCTGCAATTCTTTCAAGCTGTAATGGAAAGCGATTACTCTGATCTTTACATAGATGCGGTAGACGAGATTACAGTTGTGAATTTAGAGGTAAGATTGTTGAGCAATTTGAGAAGCTCCATAACAAATCTGGTACCGGTTGGCTGATGTTACAGGTTAAGCCCATGATCCAACTACACTAATTGGTTTGGCTGCAATTTAGTTTGGCATCCCCGGAGTTCCGTATTTAGGTAGCTATGGAACGGTAGAGGGAGTTCTCCTGATTGCAAATACATATATATAATTTTAGCCGCAGCAGGCTTATACAGTGCCGGACATAAGTTTTGGCACAGCAGATAATATCAACTTAAATGTCCGAATTCGGGTGAAAATAATGCAAAATTTGGGAAATGTTTAGTTATTGGCCCATGGGTTTTGGTGTGGGGCGGAGGGGGAGGGGGCGTGGCCCCCCAAACCCCCCTCATTCGAAAGGGGACAGTCGCCACTTTACGAAAAGCCCCAGCCCCCCCTTGGGGACCACCCACAGAACCGTTTGAAAATGGGATAAAAACGGCATTTTCCGAGGCAAACTGAGCAGTTTGAAGTGGAATATAACCCAACCAACGAAAACCGTGGGAGTTTTAAATAAAAGAAATTATCCCAAGTTGGTTATCAGGCGATTTGAAAAAAAAATTAACTAAAAAAAAATTTAGGAAAAAAAAATTAACTAAAAATATTGTGAAATTAAGAAAAAAGCGACAGATAGAAATGTTGTAGTAATAGTAATATGATAGTATCTTAGCGCACTTAGGGATTATAACCCTCACTACGTAGAATTCTCTTCTGTGTTGCCAAAGAAAGGGGGCTGAACACCTTTTGCAGAGAACACCTTTCTGCGTAGGCGGCCTTTGGCCGCACTTAGGGATTATAACCCTCAGGCAGTCGAATTCTCCTTTCTGTGTTGCCAAAGAAGGGGGGCTTAACACCTTTTGCTGAGAACACCTTTCTGCGTAGACGGACTTCGGCCGCAATTAAGGATTATAACCCTCAGGCAGTACAATTCTCCTTTCTGTGTTGCCAAA